ACTGTACACTATTGTACACTATTTGTAAATTATTTTTGTAAAAATGTAAAAATGGGTTTATTTTTACAAAACTTATTGAGAGTATTAGTGTAAATAAAAAGTTGCCAAATAAATACCGTTACATATAATATAACTTTCATTTGCATTAGTCAAACATTATTTATGTCAGATAACAATAACATTCGTTTGTATTAATCACAGTATTTGTGCCGGATCACAATAATACTCGTTAAAACATTGAATTCATTGATGATTGCGTAATGCGTATTACTACCAAAATTGTGTACATTTTTTTATAAACTCTTGTATAGTGTACAGAATATTACATTAGTGTTAATTACCTAGTTCTAACAAAAATCATAGGAAAATAATAAAGGTGAAAAGGAGTCTTCGCTATCCTATAAACTACAATATTTATACTGTATTGTGGTTTAAAATTAGTATACACTATTTGTTCAATATTTTTACCTCAGTTTTACCAGTTTGTACACTATTGACAAAAATAAAGTTGGCCACACTAGTTAAAACACTGTTTCAACAAAATCTAATGTCATATTAAAGTCTGTTAAATGGGTTATTATATTCAACGTATTAAATGATTATTTTAAATTCTGGCTAGATTAATGTAATACAATAGTTACATTCACTCATTTTTTTCGAAAAGTTGATTATAACATTGCACCTTGGTAGAGCATGCATTGGAGCATTAAAGTAACTAAAATAGCGATTTATCTAGTTAGATTCTAAATAGTTATTAGTGGTCTCCCGTTCCGTCCCATACATTATTAGTATATACAGTATTACAGTAGATAGTAATGTATAAGTCATTTATTGATTATGATTGACATCTAGAATTTAAAATCAAAATTCTTAAATAATTTTTTTTAGCATGTTGGTATAATAAAATATAATAAATTTAGTTATGCCACACATAAAATACTGTGTTAATTATTTTGTTATCATATTATATTTAAAATCAAATATTTATTCAAATATTTCATATCATAGTTAATTTGTATTACCAATTTATTTTAATTAAACATGGTATTTATAAATTAAAATTTATAGCATTTCTCGTTTGTAATATATTTGGTGTGAATTAGCCTTCAATTTAACTCAAAAGTCCTTCAATTCTTATCAAATCAATAATAAATGACAACTTTTTTATAACAAAAAATTAATTGTTTTTTGATTGATTTATAATTACTTTAATATAAGTTTTACATATAAAGTATAATTTAGGAAATGTTAGATCACTATAAACAAGTCATTTACAAGTTACAAATTATTTATACAAATATTTAATTTATAAACTTGTTTGATTAGCTGACACTAATATTATACTAAATATTTATCATGTATAGATATTATAATAGATTACATTTATTACTGTATTTAGTCAATGTCTACTGATAATGTAAAACTGGATTCTTAACATTAAACATAATTTCATGTTTTGTACAGTAGTTTTACATAAATTTTGTTACCACTGCTATATATTCACTGTATATTTACTTTTAAAATAATTTATAATATGTTTTGCTAAATAATCCATAATTATTGCTATTTTATAATAAATTGTGAAACAAAATAAAGTAAGAAAAACATGAAGTTTTCATCGCATATACGTAGCGTTGCCAAATCATATTTTGAAAATCCTGTATAAATGTAAAAAAATTGCCAAAAATTCCTGTATTTTCCTGTATTACAGCTTATTTTTGAAATATTTATTCCTGTATTCTTCAATAAACATGAAAATTTCTTCCTGTATTAAGTGAAAATTCCTGTATAATACAGGAAATTCCTGTACGTTTGACAACGCTACATATACGAGTGATATGTGTATTACTGCACAAGAATTGGTTAATCAGATCTCACCATAAAATAGCATTTGTTTTGTTGTTCATAATTCCCGTCATATTTACGGCATTTATTGTTTATTCAAACCAGCGGTCATATGACCGGAAACGGGACTTTTATCAGCATTACTTTGGATGGGATCATATGGGCGACGGTAGTGAAAGTATGCTCAGAAATGCTACCCATTATGGATCTAGATTACTTTCGAGTAGTTTAAGATCTACAAGTTATTCGGGAACAACACGGTACAATCCACTGATAATCTACTACCCCAGTAATAATTACACGGATAACCTAATGAAC